ATAAGATGGCGCTGCAATCTGGTAGACAAGGAAAGATGTATCGTATTATTGCTCTCTCTTTCTTTTTTATGTAATATACATATACGCACACATACATAACTTTCGCGTTGTCGGTAAAACAGACAGACTCCAGCATCCCCTTAATGTCGGACGTGTATTTTCATTTATAAATTCCGTAATAAAATATACAAACTTTCAATACTTCGTATATTATTTCGTGTTTTCAATCCAGAAACAGCCAAGAAATTACGAGACGATACGAGATATGTCCGAGCATCGATCAAAGACGCAACTACCGTCCGTAATTGTCGCAAGGAAGAAGTATTATAATTAATCGCGAGGATTCAGCGATCGCGTAGTGATACGAATCGTTGATTATTCGTAGAGAGAGCACTTTCTCCCCCGTACTTGTCGCGAGCGCGTCTCGAGAGAGAATGATACGACACGCGGAGCGGCGCGGGCCACTAACCGACTCGTTCGGTTGTCGCCGAGTAAATGTTTTTTGCGTACGGCGTGATACGTACGGCGTGACCTATTGTTTCGGCGGGCGACCTAGACCGAGGGCGGATTCCGAGAAATGACGTAGCGCCGTAAACACCCCGGTGAAAAACAAGTCTATCGTGTCGTTTCATTCAGTGCGGCTCAGCCGAGCGAGGCGGGTGTTCCGCGTGTTTTCGCGAATCTTCTACGAAAATCTCAATCGTACGAGAATTATTTTTCAATCGCGTTCAAGTGATTTTCGCGATCAACCTTATCGTCCCGCGGCGATTCGTCGGGATGAGTACAACATATATGTAATTTGAAGTATAAATGCGATAAGGGAATTATTATATATGTAAATTATTAGTTTCGATACATCCACGAGCGATGGACCTTTTTAACGATCGAACTCGGGTGAATCTCTCTTTCTCTCACGTCGTACTTAAAAGTCTTTGTCGGTTTAAGTTAAATATTTATCGTTCTTAGATAAAAAGCGCGAGGGAATACACGAATCGCCGGATTCGCCGGGTAAAATAATAACGAAAAATTATTATGTATCGATCGGCTGCCAAGAAATAACAATCTCTCTAACATTTGTGCGTACAAAATTGCGCGTACAACTTAAAGTTGCCGTTTTCGGTCAGTTAAAATCCGGACTCAATTGGACGCAGTTCGGCAGTGTAAAACCAACTCTGAAACTTTACTTTCCCGATAAAACGAATTTCGTGAAATGTTAGGAATCAAGTTCTGTGCGAACATTAGTGTTACACGGTCTTTTACAGATAAGAATTGAATTACTTTTGTATCATATACTGTAGATTTTCACGATCACTTGGCGATGTAGAGTAAAAAAGCCCACGAAAATGTCGTTGTTAATTCTCTATTGCATAACGGCATTCAATCGTTCGCAGCGCTAAAAGTAATTACTAGAAAATTACTGTACGTCAGTGATTTCAATTCAATTAGGTAGTTTTCAATTAATTACTTCGTTACTTTGTCGTAACGGGATTACGACAAAGTTTCTTCCGCGTTTCTTCGGTCGCGATGTAACAAAGTGAGATAAATACGGGAAACGCGCCACGAAGTCGTCGTGCTTTATTATTTAGTTGTAATTTAATATAATTTTACAGTGATTGTTGTGCGAGCGTCACCAGGAAACAGTAGGAGCAGACAAAGGGAGGAAGGAGAGATTCCGGGGGTAAAAGATCGTCGACGACGGTTGACGGCAGAGCAACGAGAGACAAGTACGTTATTTCATTTTGCATCATTTTGTTGCGAGATTGATCGACGGACAATAAATGACAGATCGGTACACGCGCGTGTAAGGCAAAGTCACGAATTTAATAAGCCCGCTTTAGACTATCTACACCTCGTGTCGGAATGCGGGATGAAATTCCATTTGTAATTTTATTCGCCGCGTAATACGGGAAGCATTCGAAAAAAAATGTAGTGCATACGTAAAAGTATATGGCGTATTAAAAATATTAAGAATGCTATCGTGAAATCTGATATAAATTCGTCCGGGTGGGCTGAAACGTGTGAATTTTCTGCGAGACTTCCGTTGACTAATTGCAATCGTTTGAACTTGATCGGGATTGCGATATTTTCTTAGACTTTCGGAGCTTTCGTATCTAATTAATACGCTCTCGAAAAAGTAATAGTTGCAAAGCGTTCTGTATATTACAAATATAAATCGTGACGAGTAAAGTTTACAACTAGCACGCAAGGATCGGCCAATAGATATCGCGAGGAAAAGAAATTGAAAAATGAAAAACGACGACACGTGCGAAAATGATGTTAGCGGAGACAGAGAGAGACATTTAATGTATCGGTTTTGATTAAAGGACAGTGCGCCATGTCGTACAAAATCAATGAACAACCGATATTGATGTATTAAATCGCGTAACATGCCAGGTTTACCGATACGATGATAAGAGACATTGTAGTCGTTTATAAATGTTGTTTAAAATGGAGGTACTCACATTAATGGCCCTTTTGATAGCACTCGATGCGTAGAATCCACAGAAGTGCGGCCGTGTATCGCACGAGCTTGTTTGAAATATCGTAGGTAGTGCCATTCTCGTAATTCCAATTGTTATATAGCGCATCACCTACGCAAATGAAATAAATCGTTTCGTTCAGCACTTTTCTTAATTGACTACGAAAATTTAGACGGAAGGCTAAATTATTCGCGCTAACGTAGCGATTCATATTTTCTAATTCTTCGGCATTTAAAATGGCGAGGTGAACATTAAAATTGCTCACTGTAAATATCACATTTATTTGCGAATATACCGAGCGTTTTGCAAATAATAAATCGTTTCGTTCAGCACTTTTCTTAATTGACTATGAAAATTTAGACGGAAAGCTAAATTATTCGCGCTAACGTAGCGATTCATATTTTCTAATTCGTGATTCTTTGGCATTTAAAATCGCGAGGTAAACATTAAAATTACTCACTGTAAATATCACATTTATTTGCGAATATACCGAGCGTTTTGCAATAAATGATACAACCGGAAGCGTAGAGACTCGACTGTAAATAACCGAGTGACGTGGCGCGAATTACTGAAGACGATTGTTGTCCAATTAATACTTGGAATTATCCGCACAATCGCGATATTAATATCTGAAGAATCGAATTCGCGAATTTGGATCCAAAGCATCGGAACTGCAAAACGTTGGGCGGAAAACTAATCGCAGAATGCAGTAAACCACAATTTATTAATATCGCAAGTATAACTTTTCTTTCATATAAAATTATAATTTTTATATTCTTATTATTATATGCAAAAACGATCGTTTATCTGTTGTATGCATCATATTCATGCGGGAAGAGGAATTTTTGCTCAAGTATACACTGAAAAAAAATCTGGTTAGATTCAACCAGTCGTCTGTTAGAAAATGGACAAATCAGAATTCCTTTAGGATTTACCAGATGTGTAGTGAAGTCTAGTAAACCTCTGGTTATAAAATATCGAGCCCTAACTATAGTTTTTGCTAGACTTCGCTACACATCTGATAAATCCTAAGGGAATTCGTCCATTTTCTAACAGACGACAGACTGGTTGAATCTAGCAGATCTTTTTTTTCAGTGTATAAAAAATAGACACAGATTTTTTAATAATTGCGACGGACCTTCTAAACAATCATATTGGACGCTCAGGCTGATTGCTAGAATATCAAAACTCTCTGCAACATTATCATCACGCTTGAGTGGCTTATAATTATTTTGACGACTATCCGGAGAGAATATTCCTTTAAAATTTATTCTGAAAATTATGTAATCGTGGGAGAAGAAGGTATTTCAGAAAATTTTATGAGTTTGTTGAAATTTCACCGTACATTTCACTAGTAATTCCACTTAGTATACATTTTACTAGGAGAATGTATGGCAAAATTTCAGAAAAACTCTCATAAAGTTCAGAATGCCATGTGGTACCACGATCACACGATTTTCAGGATAAATTTTAAGAGAAAATTCTCCACGTACACGTAATTATTTTCAGATCTGTGTCTGAACTAATGTCTAACATATTTTGACAAAATTGCTCTTTTGGGCGTACGTTGAAAATAAAAACGATAAATGCCAAAGCTCTTTGGAAACAAGAAGAGCGAATTCAATTATAAATGTACTTTTTTTATTTCGGTGAAGAGAACGATTGAAAGCAATGGATTGAAAGGATCTCCCAGATTGTGGATTCTGTTAACTGAAACGATGTTTTCCGTTGGAGAGAACACTCATTGTCAGATTCAGGAGGAACAATAAGATGAATTTTACCCAATTCGACAAATTACTTTTCCGCTCCCCGTTTCTCGTAGGACAGCTTGGATCTGAATTAAAAAATTAATTCACACAGATTTGATTCTCGGATAATAACTAATTATTCGTCTAAATCCCAGCAAATCCAAATCGAATCCGTAGCTGAAATAGACTGCGTGCACGAAGATAAAATGTATAAAACAGAAAATTCTTCCCGTGAAATCTTTCAAGAGATTCGTTTCACAATTAGGTACAGAAGGATTGTATTAAACCACGCGTCTCCCTTCCCCGTGTTCGTGTCTTCGTTCACGATCGTCCCCGCGGCACGAAGAAAAAGCAAGCGGGTCGTCGTTGAATTTTCCTCGCGAGAGGCGAAATCCCTCGCGTTCGAATATTCCGGTCGACTTTCGATTTCGCCGCGCGTTTCCACCTAACCTAAACCACCCTGAGCGTTTCTGCCCCTTTCCGACCTCCATATCCCCGAGATTCGCGCGAGCGTCGGAAATGTCGCGGATCGTCCCGGAGTATCTCGGGGCGAGTAACAGAGAGAGAGAGAGAGAGGAGCTTACGTTCAACGCCGGCCTCCTCGACGAGCGAAGGCGGTCTCGCGCGCTATTCGCGACGCACCCGCGGGGCACCCTCCGTCATGACGCGCCGCGCGTCACGTCACACGTCGTGCCTCGCCTGCCGACGAGAACGGTGGTCCTCTCGCGCGACGAGCGGACGACGGCGCGACGGCATGACGTCCCGTTCGCGCCGCTGCCACCCCGAATCCGCCGTTCGCGCGGCCGTCGGACACCACCGCGACGATGCGCACCCGCCACCCTCGAACGCCGTGCACTTCCTTCCGCTTTCTCCCCCGCGCCCCGCGGCAATCCGATTTCCGTTTCGCGCGCCGCGCCGCGCCGCCGTGCTACACCTTCCGCACTCGGAACCGGACGGACCCGCGCTCGACGACGTTGGGGCGGTGGGCGGTGGGCGGAGGGCGGAGGGCGGGGGGGGAGGACGAAGGGATGAGAAGACGCGGGAAGAGCTCGGCGCGAGAGAGACGCGCGCCGCTGGTCTCTTCCCTCCCTTCTCGCGACGAACGCGAAATCTCCGCGAGCGCTTTTGTCCCCCTGTCGTATCCTTTTTTTCTCGCTATTTGCGTTTCGTAAACGAGGAGAATTATCTCCACGGCGGAAGAGAGCGTTACGGGGCTTACCTCGCGATCGTTGCGGTCATCTCCCTGGTCTCCTCCTCCTCCTCCTCCTCTCTTGCCGCCCCGTCGCGATGATTTCACGGCTGCTCTTTCGCTCGCGCCATGTCCGTTGCGCTGAAACGGACAAGTTGTAGGTTACAACGAAGCCGCGCGGTTACGATTAATCGCCGGAGTACAGGCGCGCGCGACTTTGCCGCGCGTCTCGCACGCCACTCGCGACATTACTCGCCCGCGTGACGCGCTGCAGGAGGCACAGGTACATACGTACGAAATTACGGAAACCGCTCGATTTCCGCGCGACACTTGAAATAAAGCACGAACGCGATGAGGTGCAGAGCGCAGCCACAGTGGCGAAAAGGCTTGTGTGCGGCCAACTTCACGGGCCCCAGAGACCCCGTAAAGGCCTTCATACATAAAATTCCGTAAGGACGTAAAACGTAAGCGTAAGAAAATCAACAGGTTGGATTTGCTACTGCTTGCGTCATTGCCTTACGTTCTCGACTGTGATTGGTCGATTTTCTTATGCTTACGTTTTACGTCCTTACGGAATTTTATGTGTGAAGGCCTTAATCAGAGACCGGCCATAAGAGTTCGTCAAATTCCTGCGAGCGAGAGAGAAACATATCGCAACGATCGTAGAAGAGCTCTCTCTCTCTCTCTCTCTCTCTCTCTCTCTCTCTCTCTCTCTCTCGCGCACGCACGTTCGTTCGTTTTCTTCGAAGAATCACGAATAAATTATCAAATAATCGCATGTTGCTAGAAATTTTAGGAAAACGATACAGGAAAACAAACCTCCTTCGCTAAATTCTTCACACCATCTTCGTCAATGATCACATTTCTTGTTTTTTTTTTGCAATAATTTCCTCCGTAGAACATGGAATTGCAGAAGAGAAAGACGCCTCCATAACGTTTCATAATATTATTCTAAACTTTTGACTAGAATTATTTCAACCGCTCGTGAAACTTAGAAAACTGTGATAGAAAATAAACACGACGTGATAACAAAGGATTCTTGGTTAGAGGAAGTCCGGTATTTGCGTTGTATACATGTGTCACTCTCACGCCATATAATTTATCTTCAAACATTGTGTTCGCAAGTTACTCTTAACATGTACGCTTTTTCCAGTTGCAAAAACATTTTATTAAAATAAAACTTTAATCATACAAGAACACAACACAAGTGAGAAATTTTACGAATACATTACCTATATATGTTATAACATAATTATATAGTAATTAAGCATAGAAATGATGTTCATATCACGAGACACGGTAGTCTCGCGTCAAGTATAAGCGTAGCTAGGACCGCGCGCGTTTATCATACGTCAAGCTTTAGCAGATACCTACTAACATTTTTTTTAAGTATTTTTTAAAAAGTAACTCAAAAAATGAAAAATTACAGTCGCGTTTAGACAGAATTAAAAAAACTAATAATGTAATGTAACAAGTGATTATCCAGACGTTTACTGTATGTATTATCGTTTACGTAGCTATAATCGCGCATCGTACTAATGTACCGTTTTTAATTAATAAAATTAAGCATACAAATACAGATAAATAATACACACGTAAACCGATAAATAAATATGTACATATTTAAAAAATCAATTACTAATTGCATAAATATTTTACATTACAGACATTACAAACTATATCTAAAAATTTTAATAATTAACGTATAACAAATAATGGCACGGAAAACACTATAATTTTTTAACGGTTTACATTGTCAAACAAGTGAACGAAGACACAAGACAGAATTTGCATACGTGCGCGACATATTGCAATAAGTATACATATATAATTTTGTGCATTATTTAAATATGCTGTGAAAATATAAAATTAATATGTTCTAAATTTACGATGTGAATCTTCATCTCGTACATAAATAAACGGACATTATGATCGGAATTAAAAGAATCACGTATGTATTATTTCTCTATATGTAATATGTGCGAGATTTAACCTATGTAATCAAATATAAGATATCTTTTATTTATGATTTATCGCTATTTTCTTATTAATATTTCAAATACAAGTGTCAAGTCGTATATATCTTAAATTTACAATTTGGAATTGATAGAAATTTTCAAACATTAATAGATTAATTCAAAGCAAACTCTACGAACTTCTTAACGTCAAGATCAGATTGTTATACAAATTTAAAAGTACTAACATTAAGTGACTGGCTCATCTCTTCCAATTTTATTGCCTTCAAATGGCATTATAGTAAAATTTATCAAACTTTTCGGATTAAATATTAAGTACTTATCGACCAATAGTAGCCACTTTTCGTATGCAAAACAATATATGTAATTTATAAAAGTATAAAACATAATATAGAAATGTGTAAAATATATATGAGATAATGGATTTGAGAGTTGAGAATTATTAATTGAAACAGGGATTTAGAACGATTCGCCGAGACGGTTCCCAAGCCAAAGGGTGCTGTGCCCAGGTTCGGTTTACCGGGATGGAAAATGATGCCTTTGGAACATAAGATACCTATGATACCTGGACCGAAGGGCGCTTACAGCTTCACGCGACGCAAAGTAGGAAAGAAATTGTGGGGGCCGAAATTAGAGTTCAATCTGAGCGACCCTTACTGCCACGAGACCAAATTCCCTTATGAACCCCTGCACGACGAGCATCTGGTCGAGTTCTTCTCCAGACCAATTAATCTGAAGTGTCTACTGAAAGCCGATCTAATCACGGATGATATGGACGTGAAGTGTTCACTGCGCGATTACAACGATTATAGAAAGTACCTGAGGCAGGTGCATGCTGATCGTATAAAGAGAGAGATGAGAAGGAGAGACCGTCTCTTCGTCGAGAGGGCAGCATTACGTTTCGCCGAGGACCAGGCGCGCAAAGAGGTGGAAAGGTATAATTCGCAATTGTTTATGACAAAGAAATATTTTTTATTTAAAAAATTTAGAGATTTCTCTTCGAGCCAAGGAAGAGACGTCTTCACCCTAAACTTTTTTGTTTGTAATATCCTTTACTTCTGTACACATATATGTTGTTATTGACAGATTTTTTTCTTATGATTTCAGATTGATAGAAAGGGAGAAATGGGCCAGCGAGAGGCAGCGTCTCGTGCAGCAACGGTTGCTACAGGAGAAAGTGAGAAACCAGAAGTTAAAAGAGCGAGCGTACAGATCGATACGAAGATTGAAACTGTTAAGGCTCGTCAGGCAAGAAGAACGAAGACTGATAAACATTAAGCGTGAAGAACGGACCGAACTGAGTCGGCAGAAATGCAAACTTGCGACGGAAATCGCCCGAAGTAAAGTAATCGACACGCTGGTGGATTGGAAGAAGAAGGGCAAAACGCAAAAGAAAGCTAAGGAGAAGCTATTACTGGATATCGAACAACGGAAACAGAAAGAAATGGAAGAAAGGTACATATATTTAAGGGCCCATTCTGTTAACAATATCATTCTGTTAACAATTACGTGCGAAAAATGTCACTTATAGTCGCCAGTGATAATTAAAAATTAAACAGTGAGCTTATTGTCAACCCAACTGGCAAATTTTATTGAGTTCGTTACAACGTTTCGACCTTACTTCAGTCATCTAGTAAGAAAAATCTTACATTGGCGAATTTCAGATGGAAGAAAAAGCAGCAGTTCCAAGAAAATGATATTGCAAAACAAAAAATATTACTAGAACGTGTGGAAACCCATCGTCAAAAATTTATAGAGGATTACAACAAGAAAATAAATAAAGAAACCGCAAAAATGAAAGGTATGAGAAAAGTTTGATAGACAACACGTTCTGCAATTATGGACTTCTCAGTTATAAATTATTGTTTGTACACTCGTGGAGAAATCGAAAGATTTTATTTTATTATCCATAATATAATTTCGCGCAGAACTGTTGGATAATGCGAAGCTGTTTACAAGATGTTACATGAAAAGATACTTACCAGGCGGAAGGACACTCATTTGCTGCAAGAAATACTTTAAAAGCGATTTGGTAACTGCATAATAAAAGATTTAAAATAAGAACAAATGTAGCTTACATTAAATATTTTCTTGTCGTAGGAAGGACACACGAAGATGAAGTAAGAAGTAACTCGCGAAAATCAGGCAAGCTTTTGTCAAAATTCATAAAGCGGAGGAAACAAAATATAAAATATAATAAACAATATAAAAATCATAAGCAATATAAAAAGTTGATACTTTTAATTTACATGTAGTTTTATTGTGTGTACTCGTATATCAATGCTTCAAACTGTAATAAAAATTATCATTTAGAATAGTTGCAAGTGGCAAACGCCAGGATGTAATACACAAATCGAAGCAAATTATACAAGTTATTACAACAACAAAATATACGGGACAGGGCGTTAAACAAAAAGTTAAAAAGTGTTAAGATGAATACTACTGATGAAACCTGTGCCAAGGAAAAAATTAATGTTATGTTGCTAATAAAGTCAATATTAGAAGACAAGCATGGACAAGTTACACTGTAAGGAACAATGAATAATTAGTATAGTGTTTTAGAAATGTCACATAAAGCTAAGTAAATGTATTCACGTCAATAGCTCTTTTAATGGCAGCGCACAACGCCATGTAGCCAGTTAGTCCGTTAACACTCCATTCCGGTTCATTCTTTTTGGGCCAGAGTGCAAAATTCAACGTGTTTAGCACGAATAGCCAGTCCACCGCCCTGCAATCGTTCTGTGTGGGGTGAAATTCGGACGACAATCGTGCGTATTTAAATCCTATCTCGCCGATATTGTCGATTGTGATATTGTGCAACATATAAGTCATCACCTATGCCAACAGAGATCTTATTTAGTAATGTACTTTGATGAACACTTGCGAAATTTTAACGAAAAGAGAAATTTTATTCATAAAATGACTTAAATACTTCGAAATATCGTATATTTAAATGGCAATGAACAGTGAAATGAAATCGGCAAGCTCTTTCGCAGTACTTATTTCGAATCATAAATTCAAAAAAGAACTAGATTTTTGCTAAATATATTGATATCGAAATGTATAGGTACACTATGTATTAAATAATTGACAGAGAAAGAAAGAATTAACAATCCTCAGTTTTCGTTCGATATAGAAAACTTCATTCATAATCAATAATTCGTTTCTTGAAATTTTAGATTATAGAAATGATTACATCATGAATTGAATTCCGGAACCTCGTGTGTCTGACTTATAATATAAACCTTTAAATTTTTGTTTACCCTTGTTTCAAGATTTGTGAATATAAGTACAGTAAAAATATTGCGGATTAGTAAAATCAAATTTTCAAAGAAAATAAAAAACCTCAAGCGTTAACTGTTGTATGCCTTTCATGCTGATGGATACGTTTTGTGCGTTGCAGACGATATAAGACATCGTAGCATTTTTGTCCTGTTGATTTATAACGTTAGAGTCTGATTCGGCCATTGTTTCAAATTACTGTGGTCACCTCGACAAAAGGTTTACGACTGCGATCATCTCGACAAGAGTCTCGCGACTGTGATCACCTCGACAAGTTTCACGATCGCAATGGAAAATAAACATGACATCAAATATATGGAAATCTGTTGTTTGCGCCATCGCGCTATGCTTCCAAGGACACTAACACAGTATTTAGTTTCGTCTTTTTAAATAAGCTACGTTAAATTTGTGCAATATTTGTCTAATAATTTTCGTAATATTTAAGATTGTGCAATCTTAGCGTGGAATACCACAGGGCTCTCTGCGGAAACGAAGACTTGTAATGGACACATTTCGAGTTCGATTCTTCATCTTATATGTATGGATCTTAAATTAGTAATTTCTGTAAATTAAGGGAGGCTCTGATAGAAATCTACTTGGTACCTCTAGTTAAAGATTGTCTGATAAACGCATTACAATCTTAAATATTACATGAAACACTTATTACTCGAGATGACGCGTAGCTCCTGTGATCGCAGGTAACCAGTGATAGGTTCCACATTCGATCCTAGCCCTCATATTGATACACTAAATAACGTGCACACAAGTTTATTGCACTTCAAGATTGCAAGTTGGGTAGTGATAATAATTAATTTTCGTAAAATAAAATTATTATAAAACCCTTAAAAAGCTGAGAAATATTAAAGCTCGATTATTCATGGAGGGAGGCTAGCGTTGGACTAGAAGTGCCATTAGATGGATAGAACAGTTTTGGCAGGATTAGTTTCAAATTTTTATTACAAATATTTCGTACACGAGGCCAACTGCGGCGTTGTGAACAGGATCGTAGAAATAATGCTTTTGAGGGAAGCTAGGCCCCAAATATCCCTATTATTTCCGATCCAGAATGGGATCTATTGTTTGACCACCGCAAATCTGTCCCCAACCGATCAGACGCCAGTGCTTCTCCACTCGTCTGGACAACGCAATCTTCTCGTCGACCTCCGTGCACACAGGATTCGTCAAGCTGATCTTTGCTAAATCGGCGCGAGTAGCCAACACTCTGCCACCGGTACTTAAGGAGCCGATATTTACTAGCAATACCTCACCCCTTGACAGTTTCGGTACCTAATCGAGATATTTATGTACGAGCAATAATTAAAATCCTTTTTAATTATGAAATAAACATAATTTTAGAGAAAAGAAAAATAAAGCTGCATCTAATTACGAATTATACATAATCAAAGAAAATATACGTAACAAATATATATCAGAGAACAAAATATTGCATAAAATATTCTCTACAGCTTCAAGACTTTTGCAATATTTGCAATTTGCAATATTAGTCTTAAAATCGTGCAGTTTATAGAAACACACGTAAATGGAGTGCAGTAGTAATCTTTAAGATTATGTAGAATCTTGCATTTGGACTTACCCTAGCGCCCTTTTTATCGCCTTCGGTTCTTACGCCTAATAAACGTTTCAATAAATAATACGAAATTTCCAGTTCGATGAATATCTGTGGCAAAGCGCCGACGCTTCCAAGAATTTGTCCGACTAGACGATCGGCACGACACAGAGTAGGCTCGATCTTGGTCCCGACACCTACACGCAATACATTATAAAATTATAAAATTTTAGATTAAATATAAGATTATAAACCCAAGACTTGCTAGACATCAGTTCACATTAAAGCAATTAATAAGGAATATCCACGAAGAAAATTAATTACCAATTAGACCACCAGGTACGGCATATTGCAATTCATTCTGTTCGGCAAATAGAGACACAATACGCGAGAATATTGGACGACAGGTCAGCTTGCCCTCGCTATCCTTGGACACTAATCCTGGACGAACTTCGATCTCCATGCCAACCTACGACAAAAGTGGTATTTATAGTACACATTTCGAAGAAATTAGTCCAATTTAAGACTAATCTAACTCATACTTTCAGCACTCCTCGAAGAATGCTACCGCCAGCGACGCCGCCCTTCAAATCATCCACCTCGCAGCCAGGCTTATTCACATCGAAAGATCGGATAACGATCAATCGAGGCTCCGCCTTGAAATCTCTTATTGGCACCGGAATTTTCTTGGTAATGTACTCGCACAGTACTTCAATGTTGTATTTCAGTTGCGCTGAAATCGGAATTATTGGAGCGCCTTCCGCCACCGTCCCTGTTTTCAAATTATGCAAACGAAAATTATGCAAACATATATGCGCGTGCGTCAGTTTACATTGGCAATAATGGCGAATAACCAATACCTTGAATAAATTTCAAAATCTGCTCATACTGCTCCTTGGCTTGCGCTTCTTTAACCAAGTCGATCTTATTTTGCAAGATGACTATGGTCTTAAGCTTCATAATTTCAATAGCGGCCAAGTGCTCCGACGTTTGAGGCTGCGGGCATGACTCGTTGCCAGCTACAATTCAGTAAAATAGTTTATTGCCTTGGAAAAAGATAGATTATCGCCTTGAAGCAAAGAAATTCCGCGCGAAAGGAATATGTCATTTACCGATTAAAAGCAAGGCGGCGTCCATAACAGCTGCTCCGTTAAGCATAGTCGCCATAAGAATATCGTGTCCAGGACAATCGACGAAGGAGACATGCCGAATCAACTGGAATCTTCCTGGGCAAGCCGGACGCAAGCAGGGAAAAGAATCGTCTTTGCTGGACCCACCGGATATGTAGCGTCCAGGTCGAGGACATTTCGGATTTTCACACTCGTAAATTTTCGCGTTTGCGTATCCTGAAATACAGAAGAACACTCAGACCTAACTCGTCCCTACAATCGTCTAAGAACATTCTTGCGCCTGCGAGGATCTTCTTCCATGAAGAGGAACTATATATGCACTGCGCGTTATAAAACATTATTACATATCGTCAACTTATAAAATAAATTCCTCTTCAATTAAGTTCGTAAGAATTTAATACCAAAAGCATACATGTATAAATATATATATATATAATTTTTTAGGTAGTGTTCTCCACGTCTCTCGCTTGTCATCTACACTCATTAGATGACTTTCTTGAATCATCATCATACAAATGTTAAGCCAACAGTAGCTATGTACGTTATATTACGATCAAAATGCCACTGAAATAGCCTCCACGTTTTATATGGAAAAATAAACCGATGTATAACATGTCAGAGACTTTGTCCACGATAACAGATTGTATTTTATATCAGAAGAAAGGTTTGTAATGCGCCTCGTGCGAGACTTTATTTTTCAGAATCATCCATCGATAAGACAACGACGTGTGTATGAAACTTACAGAAATCTGGTCTTTATTAATTAACTGTTTAATCTCTTGTAATTATAATCAGTTGCCGTAGGTTATCAACAAATGTAAGTAATGACCATCAATGCAATTTTGCGGTGTTTCGTGCGTGTAAGAAAATAGTTACCGATTGAGAACCTCTGTAAAGAAAATATGACGATAGGGTGACACATGTACATGTTCCGAAACGGTCCCGAAGCTCTAAGTCGATGTACAATTTAATGATGATTTATTTTTAACAACTAATGCATATACAAATTACGTCGACCCTTTACGTTCTGATAGCAAAAGATACGGTGATAATGTAAAACATTCTACTATTAGTTACGTAATACTGCAATGCGACAACGACCATCTATTATCATTAATCACTCAATATTGTTACAAAAACGCATATATATGAGTAGTGTTTGTCTTTGATTTTTTTAAAGATAAAATTTAACACTAAAGCTACCGAAGATTACTTCACATGTAATAAAATACTATACAGAAACTTAGGAAAATAATAATTGTAAAAAATATAATTTCGATCCCCTTGGTAGTTCTAGTATTAATCGTTGTTAGAAACTTCTTTGGCAGATTTTTCAAAGCCATCAAACTCTTAGTTGCGAAAAATTTGTCGGATTAAGATTTACATGCGTGATATGTATCTAATTAATTGCCTGCATTATTCAGAATATAAACAGTCGACCCCCGACGCCATTTTCTAGAAATCCTTACGAAAATTGTCTAGAAACTATCAATTACCATACAAATTATATAATGCAGAAGTAATATAGAACATGAGGTTTTTCTTGGACTAAATATTGAACACCTCTCTTCGCCCGCGGTGTTAACCGTGGAATTTAAGATATTTCCCAGCAGAAGATACATTTAATTTGTGTAAACTTTGGGAAACAAGGATAAAACGCTTCACCGTGTGTTGCACTGTGTCAACCGTATCTATTGCTGGAAAACGTCTTTACATATTAAATCGGACACATTCTAGAGATGCAATATCAAGAATCTGCCGATCCTCTGAATATAGGTCCGAATTGCACCCACGGATAAATCACTCAATGTCTGCGGTTGTGCGTGAGTAGAAGTAAAATAAATATATATTATAATGATACTACGATCCATGTGCTGATAAACACCAAGACCCCGAGAATGTCTCAGCACGCTTCTTGTTTTCACTATAGCAGTATCGTTTCTTATGTATATGATTTATACACTCACATGAAAGGGTCACATTCGCAGCGTCTTTCGTCTTCTAATTTTCGAGAAGGTCTTTGTTTTCTCTCTTTAACTTTGTTCCCTTAAATGCCTCTCATTAGTTAATTAAATGTGAATTATTAATATTCAGAAACCGGAACAAATGAGATTCTCAACCGTCCCTAAAATCTCCGATCATTAGACGCTGCAAACTTGACGTATCCAAAATGTAATAATTATATTATAAACGTACGCAAGGGATATGTACCTATAATCTCTAAGAAATGAAAAAGAAAAATAATATTAACATACAAAATTAATATACGAACTTGTATGTATAATTAATATTAATATAATGTCGTATATCAATATACGAAAAATTAATATTAATATACGATACGCAATTAACAATATGTAATAAAAACCACTGATGCTACTCCACATTGCCTCGCGATCGAAGAACGGGAATTTTTACTTCACACCTCTCGTATTTACGTTTAACTTTTATACAATTAGCCGAGTATAAAAATGAGCATAGAATGTATTAAAACAAAACTATACAACAAACAGCTCTGTCACACACTTTCATAACAATTCAGTATATTTAGGAAACTCAACACTAATAATTATTCAATGGCAATATTCACATAATCAATGTGCAGTCTCGCCCATGTCTCACAAGTAATACTATCCAAGTGTTATACTCCAATTTTTTTGAAACTTTGCACACTTGTATAACTTCGAAAAATATTTTACCCCCTATTTTTTTATTTGTGCTCATAAAGCATTTTAAGGATAGGAACTACCCTCGAAATATTGACCTTTTCAATTCCATGTACAGCAATTCTATAGGCCATGTACATTATCTCGAACAATTCTTGCACCAGAATACTATCTCTAGGAGTTTTCAGAATCGTTGATTACGAATTTGATGTCAAAATTATATATATATAATTAAATGTTATATTATTATATATTATTATATATATATAATTTTGACATCAAATTCGTAATCAACGATTCTGAAAACTAGAGATAGTATTCTGGTGCAAGAATTGTTCGAGATAACGTACATGGCATATACAATAGAATTGCTGTACATGGAATTGAAAAGATCAATATTTCGAGGGTAGTTTCTATCCTTAAAATGCTTTATGAGCACAAATAAAAAAAATAGGTGTTAAATATTTTTCGAAGTTGTACAAGTGTGCAAAGTTTCAAAAAAATTAGCGTGTAACACTTGGGTAGTGTTACTTGTCAGTTAAACTCATAGTATCATTTCTTTTTTTTTCTATGCTCATCCACGACTCTCCACTAATTTACTCGCGACAGTAAACTTTTCTCTTTACAACTTAAGGATTTGCAGTTTGTACTTTAAAGTCTTATTTATCTGGCAGGCATCAAAACTTGTAACCATTTGTAATTATTCACATAAACTGCGAATTATGAACATAATGCATGTTACACGACAAGATACAATAGTAATTATCTCAGTTAGTAAGTTTTCAAAATTGTCTTTTATTACATGCCGTTTGAAAGACTGCTTCATTTTTATAATGTCAATTAATTTTAACTTATTAATTATTCAGCATTCAAAGAAGTATAAATAATACGTTAAAACTTGGAAAATATATACGACAGTTACCGTCAAGTTAACTTAATTTAGAAAAATAACCTCAGACCAAGTTTTGGGTAATTATAACTTGGTCGAGTTACTATTTCGCTCATGACTAATCCTGAATGTATTTTTCTTCTTCAGACCATAATATACACACATATATATATATATAAAATAAGACGATTGAGAGAGATAGTGAGTTAGTGAAGATCAACACCAATTGACACTCGCTAAAGGTATGACATGCTCCTTAAAACAAGTATCGCCGACACGTCGCAGCGCCGCATTTGCAAAGCATCCTGTTTTTTGAGCTAGCATTGCTGTCCTCCGGCTTGTTGTCTAGCGGCTGTTGTCCCTTAGCGTTGTCGCGCGGTGTCTGGCATAAGTAATCGAAAGTGAGCTCTTCGTTCTGCTTTATGTCTTTGATAGCAAACAGCGCGAGGCCCGGTAGATTTGGGTCCAAGCAATTGATCCAGATCGCGTAGACGGCGAGATTCGGGTCGCACGAGTGATTAATGAAGTGCGAGACGTTCCCGTACATGGCAGCGTCTACGGTGTACGGGCACTGGCCGTCGGTTTCGTTGTAGTCGAGATCGAAGAGGTACGTACGACCGGTCAAGTTGTACTGCCTACCGCGCTTCTCCGCCTCCTCGTTCCTGATCACCTCGCCCACGTACTGGATGACGAAGGTGCCTTTCTTGATCGCACGCCGGGTACGCACGCCCCAGCCGCGTTCGTTGTCCGTGCGGAAGATGCACAATTGCGTGCCGGTGCCTAGCTGCACCACTCGATTCGGACAGGTCGACGCGTCGCAGGCGCAGCGTTTGTTGCATTCGTAGATGGGCGTGCCGAGGGGTACACGTACCCGGCGCGCCGACGTGTACGCCAACGACGTGGCGCCGTTCTGCGCGAAGCAGCAGCCGACCTTGTTGCCGGCCGTCCCGCACTCGCCATCGCACTCGCAGCCGATCGGCGGATCGTCCGGTATTAAGACGCCCGCGCCCGGCAAGTAGCTGTCGATGTAGAAGAAGTCTTGCGGCGCGCTCTCCAAGTCTACCAGGTTCTCCACCAGGATCGTCGGCTTGCCCTTCGTAATACTGTTCATCTCGTTTTCCCAATCCTGCAGCGACTCGAGCTGGTCGCGCCGCAGCTCGATCAGCAGCATGCGCAGTATCTGCCGCTTGATCTTCGTCTCCAGCTTGGCGCTGCGCGACTTGAGAAAACGTCGTATCTCGGCGTACACGCCGCCCTCGGCAACGGCGGCGGTGGCGGCTGATGTGGCATCAACGATCGACATCTTCTTGTTACGCGCCAGAAAGATCGCGACGTCGCACGAGTCCGGATAATAGTTCGTCGTCTCCTTGAATCGATCGATCAACTCCTGCTGCTCGTTGTCGAACTCGCACAGTAGATCCCTGCAATTAATGAGGTTCTGCAACGGTTCCCACGTGTTGTACTCAACGCCCCAACCCTTCCATTTGACTAGATAGAACGGCTGTCTCTTCTGTTCACGCTTCTGCAGGATCCTCTCCACTTCCCAGAGCTTAATGTTCTTGCTTGACACGGGAGAGGGTTTGTCGGGCACCGCTGCAGTTAATTTGCGATACTTATCGTTGCGCATGATATCGTACAGCATCACCCGCACCTCCTTGAGTTCACAATCAAGGCGTGGATTCATAGCATCCCCTCGCGCGGACAGCATGCCATCGGACGACGATTCCTCATAGTCGGATTGCCGGCCGTCGCTACCTGGATACCTCGCACCCGTACTTCTGCTGCGAAGCGTGCGGGAGCTGCTCTCGAATACTTTGAGCACCTGCTGCGTAATTAATATTGGCTGCGGTCGCAAACGCTTTGATGAGAACAATGACAATGACGACGGTGATGTAAAAATTGATGACGATGATGATGATGACGATGATGACGACGCCAACGACGACAACGACGACGACGCCAATGACGAGGAGGAAGAGGAGGAGCGGAGTGTGTGTCTGCCGTCCAATCGGTGAGGTATATTCTTGCGGCCCTCTCTGTCGAGGTTTCTGGGCATCTTTGCGCACGACGGTGCGTCAGTGCTTCCAGGGGAGAGGTGTCGTTTTTGCCTAACGGCTGGCGTTTTGCTTGCAACGCTGCCAGGTTTATCTGCCGATTCACCGCTGCTACCGCAAGCCGCCGCGTCTGCAATGCCAAACATTTAAACAGCATCATTTCCCGTGCCATTTTTCTCTTTTCAATTCGCTTCTAATTTGAACGATCACTCTCCCCTTTCCGCACACTTCTCCATCGTTTGTTTACGTTTTGCATTTTTCTTTGCGTTTTCTCAGTATTCCTTCTCAACATTCGTCCGCTCGCCCATTATCTCGACTTGCCGGACGAGTGATAACAATGAACAGCACCGGGAAGCTTTGTTCATGCTACGATCGAGCTGTATGTAATTCTAACATCTTAAGAGATATTAGACTTTTTATTCTACTCGCAGCTTCGCGAGTTGAAAGAGCGTCAAGAGACTTTTTTGGTGCATTTTTACGTAGTTTAAGGAGTGTACAATATAAACGTTTCGGTTTGTACTTTGATAACAGATATTAAGTGCTGGCTCTCGTGACATGAGTATCACGCGAGACATCCCTATAGACCTTTCCCTCCCCTCCACCAGATATTTTATTACAGATTCCAAGCGATAATTATAACGACTTAAAGTATACATAATTTGTTTGGTTAATATAATCTCTCATTATCGTTTCTCGCCACCAGTACCAAACGCCGAAGACATTTGTGCGTGAACAAAAGTAGACCGAGTCGTAACAACCTAATTAACTTTTAACTTGCAATATAAGAATCATACTTACCTGTTACTTAAACTTTTTCACATAAAAATTCACGTATCAAAAGAGTCTTTAGTCGCGATTCAGGTCAAATCTTACAAAAATTTAAACAATTATCCTCACTCGTTATCTTTAAAGTGATATTCCATCACTGTCACTTTAAAAATAACAAATGCACGGATTACTCTTTACCACGTGTTGTTACAGCGCTAAGAAATATTACCTTCAGCAGAAGGTAATATTTAAAGGATCTGTCGAGTTTGCAAAAAATTAATTTAAAAAAAACCACGTTTCTTTGCAGAGACGTTATTCCACGGGGGTATATTTGTGCAAGATTCACCTTCTCCAAAATTAAATGAGTACGCAGGCAGAATGAGTTAATGTATTCAAATGTGCTCACCGAGTTTAATGGTGATATTTCTCTCCAGTTCATTCTTAAACCGAACAGTCTGCACCCCCGAAATAGCTTTCACGATCGTCGACTTTCCGTGCGCCACATGCCCAATAGTGCCTGTAATGAAGTTGCACGTTTATTTACATGTTATAATGCATGCGTCGGGATGGCGCCACGCATTTAACTCCAGAATACTTGAAAGAACCCTGCGGCACTTACCAATATTGATCGTGGCTTGTCTGCTGATGACTTCGGGCGACAACGCAGTTAATTTATCAATGACCTGTACAAAATGAAAGAGAACGTGAGTGTCTTACAACGTGATAATTTTAGGATTGATCGAATCAATTTCGAAACGGCGACAACTTTTCCTGCTTTCTAATCTAGAGACACGTGGACCCGACGACTGCGTTCAGCAGAAACAGCTGCTTTACAACAGTTGTAAAGTTTGCAAATTCCATTGGAGTATTCTCTTGGATTCTGGCATAACTAAGAGTACACGCCGATCAGATTCAAGATTCATACAACAGTTGCAAAGCAGCTTTTTCTGCCGAACGCAACCAATGTTCTGCGGTCTGAAGTTAACGAAGCTAACAAATAGTGGAATGATGACTTTGTAACTGCCACATGTGGGCTCGTAGAGAAAATCAATCAACAACACTCGGGCCTTAAGGCTAGCTTAATCCATCCTTGGTCTCTTTTCAGCTGTTCCCTTGGAAAGAGACAAACAATGAATTAAACGAAGATCAAAGTTGCGACGTGAGTGAAACCAGGCCTCAATCGAGCTTAACAACACTAGTAGTTGTAACGCTCGGTTTCACCAAACATCGCCTAAATTTAATCTTAGTTTAATTCACGTTTGTCTCCTTCTAAAGCAACAGTTGGAAAGAGACAAAGAACAAATTAAGCTAAGCTCAAAGTTAAGTAACGTTGCTGAAACTGGGCCTAAAACTACTCGATCACAACTTTCTTGAAAAAACGGAATGATTGGCCAGCTTGATTAAAAATGACATGTAAATATAATCAATTTCTCATTACAAAAACATAGAATGATACTCTACACGAGCCGCGCGGGACATTTTATTAATTTTATCCGCAAAGCTTTCGCCAAATCTTCGCTGAACCTGAAACAGGCTGAGAAACAGGAAGCAGACTAAGTAACAACCAAGACCGCTGTGCGCGCAACAAATAAAGCTATCGTCGCGAGGCAATCGATAATTGACAAGCCGCAGGCATTTTCCTGTGCACTCGGAAGACCACACGCTGGCAATTTATCCGCTTTACAGCGCACCACGGTTTAATTGACATCCAATAACTTCCCGCTGTCTCCTCCAGCTCGATTTACTCCCTGAAATCGTAATCGACAATCCGCCCGACTGGAAGAGAAATTACACAGTCAACATATGTCAATGTCGCGCGGCGTCGGCTGTCGTTTCTCGAATCAACAGCACCATCCTCCGCGAGCAGTGGGGAAGAAAGGTGACTTCAAAGAGGAATCGATTTACATCGAAAAGTCGCGTTTCAAGGGAGGAGGGGGGGGAGGGTGCAGAAAATTCACAATCGTTACTTGAAACGCGTTAACATTAGGCTGGCCCAAGGCGCAGCCCGGCCGGGAACGGCGTCCTTTTGAATAAACCGCGAGGGAGCTGATTTTCCCTTATACCGCGTCTCGAGAGGTTCCCTCGCGCGCAAGCGACTCGACGACGAGGGAGTTACCTCGAGCCCTTTCCTCTCCCTCCTTCGCCAGCAACGGGCGAAACCGATCGCACGCGGGTCGGCTGCAAACGTGGACGGTCTCGTGCGCGAGGCCGTCGCCATGCCGAGCTGGAGGTTAAGTCGCGGCGGACGATGACGAACGTGTCGGGCGAATGGCGCGAAGGCGATCGCGCGAGGGCCACCGCCCGCAACTTACGAGCTTCTTCAGGTCCTGTTTGTAGAGATTCGGCTGGCCGGTGGTAACACCCAGTCCTTCCTCGCCGCCCATGTTGCGTGAGTTAACCGCTAACAATCTGCCTTCAGGGACGCGCCTCTCCGGGGACTAGCAGAATCGTTTCCTTCCCCCGGGTACCTCTGGGCTGCCCTGGACCTCCTTCCGTATCGTAGAAATCTGCCTGGCCGCTGTGGTACGTTGGAACTATTGGAAATGTTGGAATAGCGCGGACCCTCGTGTGTAGTCAACCGTCGTTCGCAGAGGGCGCCGTGGTGCGTTTACGGCGAACCGACCAATCGCGCCGGGATTACTGATAGAGCAGAATCCCTCATTAGTGGAAAAGATTGTTGAACCTGGGGTACGTTCTAGAATCTTTTCCGAGGAAAAGCTTACCTGGCCATTTCGTAAACCTTTTCCAGCGTCTCCGATTGGCTCCGACCTATCTCTCGAGTAAAATTTGACGTCAGAATGACGGCAGGTTACATCAGCTAGCTACCTGGGATATTGGAATAATAGTTGCTTTCCTTTTACATGAAAACTCAGATAAATCTCACTTGTGACGTCATAACTCAGTTGAATGCATGTTCCTTTTGATTCTTGAGAAGTGAGATTCAACCAGATTTAACTGAGTTTTTGCGCACGATCAAGACCGTGTGCTTTAGCGAGTTTAATAGACTCACATTAATGACGTCATAACTCACATAACTGAGTGACTCAGTATCACTTGAGTGTAAAAGGAAAGCAGCTATTATATCACTTGTTAAAAATGCTCAGTACACTCTTAAGGCCTGTGTCCACGATGCTAGAACTTGGTCCGAGTTCTAGCTCCGAGAAATGTACGTGTAGCCAGTCAGCTTGCAGCTTTTATGAAATAGCTGCAAGTTGATTGGCTATACATTTCTCGAAACTAGAACTCGGACCCGCCATTTCACGGTGCGAAATCGGCGGATCGGCAATCACAAAACCGTTTCGACGGAATTTTTTAAAGGGCTCTATCAGAACGATCTTGTGATTGGCGATCCGCTGATTCCGCTTCCGCGTGTTCCACTTCATGGAACGTCGCCCTTAATCTTGGTCGAGTCCACGAGCATACGCCAATCAGATTCACGAATTTTACAACAGGTGCAAAGCAGCTGACATCAGAATATTTAAACCGAGCTTAAATTAATGTAGTTATACCCGTTTCTACCAACTCAGTTTAACTTTAATCTCGGTTCAACTTGCTTTGTATCTTTCTCTAGTTTTATGAATTGGAAAAGGACAAGAAGTAATTTAAGCTGAGATTAAAGTTAATCTGCATTGGTAGAAACGGGCATTAAAGCAGAGAGAAACCTGAGAGCGGCCACGCTGGCGTTTTACTTGATATCGTTTCAAGAGACTTTTACGCGCTCTTACGCCCATTATTACTTTTTGAACTATTTCCTTACGCATTTTCTGACTCTGCCGATAAAGTTTCTACGTTGTGCGGGTTTATGCTACGTCTATTTTTCAGGGTTGCGCTGTAAATTTCACAATTACATTAACATAAATTATCTGCACGAAGGAAGGAGACAAATACGCGGGAAGGGGGAACTCTTTGAACTTCGGTCTAGTTCGGTTACGCTCGGTAATGTTTGACCAATGGCGCTCGGTTCATATCCCGAATTCATGGCCAATTTCTAGAATTAGAAGATAAAACGTTGAAAAAGTAAAATTTCAATTCATCGACAGAACTGGACAAAAATGTCTATTTTTTACCAATGCAGATTAACTTCGATTCTCAGTTCAACTTATTTTTTCCATCTTCTAGTCTACGAACTAAAAGAAAAGATAAATTAAACCAAGATTAAAATTAAACTGGGGTAAAATTTGACAAGAGCTTACTGGAGATTGGTTTACAATAACCGAAGCTCATTATCAAAATCAAAATAATAGTTTACACGTCATTTTTATCAATCTCACAACTACTAAAACACGTGATTTTGTAATTGAGCTGATTTATTAAACAACTTGGACATATAAATATCAGATAGACTCGTAATATTCTTGATGTTTACCATACAACTCCACGGTTAATCGAACATTGTCCAAGTCAATGGGGGAAACTTGATCTTTCGGCAGCATAACAGGCGCGTCTCCCCGTTCCTCTTCCTTTCCCAGCAACATATTCTCTTTCTATTTGCCGGCACTATACATTGATAAACTAAGCTTTCCCACCGCGGGAAAATTCTTAAGCCAAAGCGGCGGCACCGGAGATAATCTCGATCAGTTCCCTGGTAATCACAGCCTGCCGAGTGCGGTTGAATGTGAGGGTGAGTTTGTCGATCATCTCTCCAGCGTTCTTGCTGGCGTTGTCCATGGCCGTCATACGGCTGGACTGCTCGCTGCAGGCGCCTTCCTTCATCGAATAAAACAAGAGCGAGGCGAGCGAGAACTCGAGGTAGCTCTGTATTACCTCGTCGTCGAGCGAGTCGTACACCGACAGCTTCGGCGCGGTGACCACCGCGTTCTTATCGAACAACGGCATATCGTCAACCGCATACGACACCACAGACTTGAACCTGTTGTACACTATGCGTCCGGAGCCGAAGGAATAACTGCAAGAGAACAGCCGTTATTTACATCGCGCCGCATCTTTAAAAAGAATATATTATACAACTCGTCCGTCCAAGAGATTTAATATAGTTAACAGAAACTTGGAAAAATTTCTAGCGAATCTCAGCTAACAGAGGCGTCCAACAGGCAAGAACGAAATTTGCCTCTCCTCTGGAAAATCAGCGAAAAATTAAACATTTACTCCTCCTTTGATAAAGAGAAGAGATGCTACATTGCAGAGTCACGTCTCTCCTCTGGAAAAAGAAAATCCCGAGGACGCTCTTGTCAACTGATACCGCCAAGTTAATTGTGAAACTGTCCTATCTAGTTGTTGGACTTATACGTTTGGCTCACGTACCCACTGTTCATTATCTGTATAGCTACTTTAGCCGCGTCGTTGAACGTCGGCGGTTTACGGCCGACCTCGGATGCGACGAAGAGTATGTTGTTCGCGAACAGCCGCTGGAGGATCGTCCGGGACTTCTCGCCGATGCATACGATCTTGGTGTTCTCGCGCTCCTTGGCGTCGGCCAACAGCCGGTCGCGAATGTTGCGGGACACGCCGGTGTGCACGGCGCCGCAGAGGCCGCGATCGCTCGTCACGGCGATGACGAGCTTCTTCGGCTCCTCCGGCGGCGCCTCGATCTCGGCCTGCTCGTAGAACACCTTGGTGCCGACGCCGAGGGGACGGGCCTGCTTCAGGTCGCGCTCCGCTCGGTTGTACTTGGCCGCCGACACCATCTTCATGGACTGCGTGATCTTCTGGATGTTCTTGACGGACTTCAAACGCATGGAGATCGCCTTGAGGGTGGCCATCCCTCGCTGCTGCTGCCATTGCGGCTCCTGCGCGGCCAGCCGCAGGATCGTCGACACGCGGTTGCTGAGCATCGTCGTCGGCTGCCGAATTCCTGCGGGGTTAAACCCTCGATAAACCAACGCTACTTCAATCGCGCTCGCATAAATGAGTTATCGCGAGTCTCTTGGCGAAAGTTTATTCTAGGTCTGCCCTTTCTAGCTCAACTGGCTGCGCTAGTTCAGGCTTCGTCATGCTCCTCCGAATGTGGAGAGAAACAGATACAGATTCTGAACTGAGTTTATCTTTTTCCCTCCACGTTGGAAGTGTTGCCAGTTCAGAGGGTCAATTGTGTTGTCTTACAATACAGTGAAAATGCTAAAAGCGAAAGGCCTCGTCTCTTTTTCTTCTCCTTAAACCTGGTTTCACCAACGTCGCTTAACTTTAAGCTTAGCTTAATTCGCTCTTGGTCTCTTTCCAACTGTTACCTTAAAAAGAGACAAACGCAAATTAAACTAACAATAAGATTAAAGCTACGATTGATGAAGCCGGGCCTTAGAAAGTAAGACGCAAGATACGCAGTCAACCCCCAGCCAGAAAGAACAGACTCTCTGTAGAAAGAAAATATTCTGATACTTTCCACCCAACGTTCCCTTGTGAATAATTTTATGGCAAAAATTGCCATTGCTCGTCGCTCCTGGTATCGTTCGTGGATAATCGAAACGCGTGATGCAACGAATCATGAATGCAGCTAGGACCACGGGTATCGGAACACAAAGTGTATGACAGAAACTACAAATAGCAGAGGCATTTCATAAAAAGTACTACTGGCAGTAGTCAATACGAGCTACATTTCCGACGACAGTGACAAATGCAACAATGTGAGGCCCGCGGGGGTGGATTTCTGGCATTCTGCACGTCTGACAGCTCGTGTCAGAAATCTCCACCAGACAAACACTCCCTCGCCGACGAGACGGATCGCAAGACGCGCGCCGCGGAATCGAGTCCGAGCGTGGAATCGAGGCGTCAAGCCCAGAGGGTCAGTGAGCTCCAACAGTCTCGGCACAATATCGCTCCGTTTACATAATCGCGGGTGAGAACTGGCGAACGCGAGCGCGGCCGAATGCCCAGCTCGGCGCAGAGAATCGAGTCGAATGAGGCACGCAGAGGCAGGATATGCGTCGCTCGGGGACGACGCAGTGGACTCGACTCACCGCCAACTCCGAAAATAAAGCCCACAGATCACCGAGAACCGTCCGCCTAATCAGCCTGAGCGGTTCCCGCACACGGACGGTGGCCACGAAGGAACACCGCGCATACGTAAGAGCGACCGCAAGGCGGATTCTCAATGGTTATACCCATGGACCTAAGAATCTCTGGACCGAGCATACGGCGAGGGGGCTGGCAAATTTGCGGTAAGGGGGGCGAGAGTGCTCTCCTTTTCTGTCCTCTTGGACCTCTCTTTCTACAAGAGGTCACAGTGACCTCTTGTAGAAAGAGATACCATGAGATACCAAGAGGACAGAAAAGGAGAGCACTCTCGCCCCCCCCTTACCGCAAATTTGCCAGCCCCCTTGCCCGTTCTCCCACTTCGTGCTCGGTCCAGAGATTCTTAGGTCCATGGTTATACCAGAGAGAAACCCCGAGAGCGAGAGCGGCCACGCCGGCGTTTTACTTGATACCGTTTCGCGCGCTCTTACGCCCGTTTCTACTTTTGGAACTATTTCGTCGCGCATTATCTGACTCTGCCGATAAAATTTCTACTTGGTGCATGTCGTGCACTCTAACATCTAATTTATAAAATTTACATTAGTCTACACGAGAAAAGAATACAAGAATTTTTTAATAGGAATTAGATGTATAAAATGATCGAATAAGACCAACGTGTGAGATTAATGTCTATTCTGGAAATATTTTGCCGGAAGTGTTAAATTAGTGAAAAATGAAACGAGTTATTCAATGACTCAAATAAATCGTATCCCATTTTCTTAATGAGATTTATATTATACGAAATACATACATATGTATAATATAAAAGCAATAAATATAAACTGGTATTGTCAAAAAGAATAATGAAATATTAGATACGAGATCGACCGAATTTAACTAAAAACTGTTACCTTTTAAGTGAGAAGTTGCTGAAATATATCTTTATTAAATTTGTTTCATAATATTGACGAATCTAGGTCAATTGACAGAGATTTTCAAATACATTCCCGCAAAATTTCGCTGTATTTTCACCAGAATACACATTGTAACAATATCTTTACAAATTGAATATCCAGCGGATACTCTGAGCTACGTCCTTGCCACAGTTCTACGCGGATTGACAAGCTTACTTTGGATATCGAATATCTTAAGATAGCGAAAATATTCGGAGAAAGGTTGCGACTCTTGAATGTACTTCTCCTCGAGAAACATTGGCAGGAAAAGAAAGACAGGACTGTCCAAGTAACGAGCTGATGCGACGGGTTTTCTATGGGCAACACGCTTCCGTTAAACCTTTCAGTCCGATACATTTTACGCACAACGTAAAACTATAGCATCCTCCCGGCGAGAAGAGGCGCGCGCGATTTAATAAAGGTCGAGCGGCGGTGTCTCCTCGAACTCGTTCGTCCTCTCGCCATTGTTGAACTGGCGATGTCGCTCCTTCGCCATCATCATGACGCGCCGCATCCTCTTGACCTTAAACACGCATTCGTACATGTCCTCGAGTATCAGCCTGCACTTCTCCTTGCCCCTGTGATAGCCGTACGCCTCCATGCAGTCGACGTACTGCAGTTCGTATTGGGCGCATTCCTTGTGGAATTGCAAAGTGCGCACGTTGAGGAAGAGGTCCGTGAAGGGCCCCTTGAACATGGGCGACCCCCATTTCATGTAACCGATGTTATCGTGCTCTAGCATGACGGGCACCTGAAAATCGCGGCGTAACTCAATGTTTAATTAATGTTAATTTAATAATCAACAACGTATTGATATTTCACGCAACGCGGTTCCCGCTGCGGACGGGCCGTTCTTTAAAATTGTCGACAGACACATCTCCGCAATACAAAAGCAACGATTCGACACGCCCCTTCGCTCCAGATTCCAAAAGTGATTTCTATCAAACTCCGATCAATTTAACTGGCAGAACTGCCTATGGCAGAAAAAAGATTTATGTAATTCCTCGTTCTCATTCCAGTCTTCCTTTTCGCGCGATAAATAATAAAATTTGACAGCTCGGCTAGTCGTTGCGTTAAGGCTCGGTTTCACCAAACGTCGCTTAACTTCAATCTTTGTTTAATTCGCGTTTGTCTCTTTCCAACGTAACAGGTGGAAGGAGACAACGAACGAATAAAATTAAGCTTGAAGTTAAGCGACGTTTGGTGAAACCAGGCCCGGGTTAATTGGAGTTTGATCGATATCTAAATATACAACCGCGATTTCTGACGGCGTTTGTAACAATATAAAGGAAATCCCGGTGACAGATATTCATAGCAAAACTCACTCGCAATTTGTTCACAAAAATACGGATTCGACCGGAAAAAAATATTAGATCGTCGCACGAGAAGGCATAACCTACACACGTACGCGCAATAATTTTATTCCTCGTCGCGTAAGAACGAGAGCGACTCCACGGTTTTACGTACCGGTGATAAACAATGCCCCGAGTTTTGTAATTATTATTTACGCCCTCGATCACTCGGAAGAATCTCAACTCGAAGTAGCCTTTCTACAGCTGTTTTACGTAATCGTCAAGGAAGGTCAGGTTAGGTTAGGTTAGGTTGTTCTTGCGGCAGCGGGAAAATCAAAATTGCCATCGGTTATCCAAGGCTGCTTTCATTTCTTCGAATTATTTGCGATTTTGACTTACTGTAAACGACTGACAATTTGACTAATTAGAATGAACGGTGAAACAATTAACGTAACGAATGAATAGAAATGATAAATACTGCGTCGTTCACAAGAGAAATTAATTTAAACTATTTAAAGACTTGAAAGTTTCGAGTAGGGCTGTTACTTTTGATAACTTCGAAGTTGACTTCGAACTTTCGAAATCTTCGTAGCTTCGAAAGTTCGAATGCTGAAACCTTCGAAGGAAATCACCAGTCCTAGTTTCGAGGGAGAATATAAAGTGATTCTTTGTCTCGGGAAAAATAATGCGTATAAATAACGTGTTACTGTATTTAAATAAAAAGTCTCGTAATATGTACATTTCCACCGTGTCAATGTACAAACGTTCTCGTCCGCAAAATCTTAGAGCTCCTAATTAAAGTAAAAAGTCACTGATTCTCTCTTTCATACTCTTCAAAGCTATTCTTTGCCGGATGGCGGACAGTAACGGCGCCGGCAGGTCGCATAAAATCTCCGTGCTCGGAAATATCCGTCTGCAGCTGTAACAGAGACATCTCCAAACGTCCTCCGCGGCCACTTGTCCCCTCACGTCGTTCTTACAGCTACACGCCGTGCCTGGAACGAGGCAATTGGAGTCTCCGCTCGCTTCCTCGTTTCCAGGAGAACTCGCGGCGACGCATCTGGAAGACACCCGTTTGGAAACCTCGAGCGCCCGCGTGGCGGTCACCTCGTCGGCAGAAGTCCCGGAGTCCAAGCTCGCGTCGCAAAGCGCGCAATTGTCCTCTACGCCCCGCTGCGCGTCGCCCCTCGGGCTCACTTTGTCGGCCGTGCGGAACACGGTGGACACCGTGCCGGAGAACTGAGACTCCAGCTGCGTCGTGAAACCGCGCGCCAACGCCTGGATGCAAGCCGCCGGCGCGCCGAGCTCCGCCGGCTTGACGCAGCTTATCCCGTGGTATCTCGAATAGTGCGCCAATTCCTGCTGCGTGAAGTCCCTCATCGGCTTGAGTATCAGGACGTCGGTGCACCGCGCGTCGCAGAAGCCGGCGAGCGCGGAGAGTTGCGCGCCTCGTCCCAGGCACACGTCCCCGAGCGCCTTCGCGGCGATGTCCACGGCGGAATCGGCCACGAATATCTTGCCGCAATCGAGTCTGCGAGCCGCCGACAGGAGCAGCCTTCGACGCAGCTGACCGATAAGATCCGTCCTCGCGGTGTCGTCCGATAAACCGGCCAACATCGCACGCAGCTGATCGTCCCTTTCATGGCTCATCTCCTCGCCCATCGGTTTTACGTCCAGTGCATCCTCCGCGTTTAAAACTTGACTCAATGACACGGCGTAACCGTCGAATCCGGAGGCCCTCGTTTCCTCGGCGATCCTGCGTCGCAGCGCGTCCCTTTCCTCGCTCGTTCTCGCCACGTTGTCTGTTCGAACGTTAAAATTTCAGTCTCAAAATTCTGTGCGATGAAAAGATCGTCGATTTACCGTCTATATACAAGACCACTGTCTTGAAGATGATTTTCTTGTGAGTGGATTCACTCAAGCCTGCTTTAATGAGGTGTAAGAGCACGGTGGAATTCAATTCCCCCGAGTGGTCGACCAGTATCGCGTCGCCGCGGCGAATGATCTTGGATTTACCGAGCGCCGCTCTGAACTTGTGGCTCGTAGCAGTCAGGAAACAGGCGTTACAGTAACCGCTCTGGCCGGCTAATAAAACGTCCACGCTCTCGCACCTGCACTTTCTGCATAGCGTTGTATCTCTGTTAAAACAAAAAATCATTGACATACTGCACATCTCAGTACATCCTTCTATAACAATACAACATAAATTTCACAGTATAATATATTTAGCATAGTTCAAATGTAGAGGAAAGTCCCCTATTATGAGATTGACTCCTAATAAGAGATAACAGGGTTTCTACATCATCTGTTGGTCTCACCATGAATTTATTGCTCTTGGAATAAGATGTATTTAATAAAAAATGCATTAGATGGTGTAACAGTTGCGCGAAGAGATCGGTTATTGAATTTTGATGTTGAAAACCTGCTATCTCATATTAGAAACCTGTCTCATAATCGGGGACTTTCATCTAGTATAATATAAATTTACAGTAATGTAAATAATGTAAATAGAAAAGAAGGATATACTAATTTTGTTATGTATCCCCTTTTCTTATTTATTTAATGTAACTCACGATAGATCTCTCGTTTTGCCTTTAGTACTTTCATCGTCGTGTTCAAATCTGCAGTCGTTGATCGAACACATCTCCTCTTTCGCGACTTGTCGGACAAACGGTACAATTTGTAATTTCACCCTGCAATCAGACGTTTACGAAAATTTACAATAATTTATCACAGGCCAAGCCTCTCCGGATTCTGTACAAGTGTAAAGGCATCCGTGCGCACAGCTGATTTTAGGTTAGGACGCAGCGTGCACGCGATCACGTGGCTCGCGTCGTTT